ATTGTCTTATATTTTCTTATTCTGGTCATATTCTCCTTTGATGCTCCGACAGATTTCCTAGAACTTTCTTTAAAATGGATAATCAAAACACAAAATCTTCACAAAAAATTACGTATTTATTCAAGAGACCTTTTTTATTTTGGAGATTACAATATTAATTATTAATTATATTATTAAAATATTTTAAATATGTAATATAATATTATTTTTTCCTTGTAAGTATTTAATATCAAGATTTCTTATCGATGAGAATATAATAAGAAATTATTTTATCTCTCATGATAATAATGTTTTGAGAGTTCTTTAAATTTGAAAAATTTTATACTCTCGGGTTTTCTTATTTTAAAGATTCTATTGGAGCAAAATCTTAGAAAAGACGTTCGTTTTCTCTGTTTTAAAGAAAGCTGTTGAACAACTCTGGTTTTTTTTTACCTGGATATCCAACCCGCTATGCGAGCTGACCAATCTCAGGACGACCACCTGTTTTGCAGATAACCCGGAGGCACCGTATTTGAACCTCTGTGTGCCACAAGGGGATTTTTACTTCTCCTTGGATTTGAACCTGAGACCTCCTGATACTTTTGACCTTTGAAGTCAAGTTCAAACCAATCAAACATAATCCTTGTAGTTAACTCTGATATTTTTATTAATTAAAAAGTTTGAAGTAGACGAAAGTATATGCTAATTCATCTTTTTTCTTTCTTAATAAAACCACGTGTCTAACCAAATATTATAATATTATGATTTTATTTCTTTTTTTGGAATTTGGAAATATGTTTCTTAGTTATTGAGTAAACTCTAATTTTGGCCCCTACGGTTTAATGAAATGTGTGAAAATGGGACCTAAATTTTGATAACTTTGAAAATCGTCTATGTGGTTCTTATTTTGTTTTGAAAATGGTCCCCTGTTACTAACTTCATTAAATTTCTTTCTTAGTGGTAGGGACATTTTTGTCCATTTAGATTCCACGCTTTTTTTAACCAGGTCCATTAAACAATCAAAAAATTTCTCTATTTAGGATGTTTCTTACTCACATAACACATTTGAGCTTCTATAAGATACTACCAACAGCCATCAACTGTCAACTCGTTGGTAAGATGAGAGCTTCAAACCCGATTTCTGGTGACGCACCCCCCGCACAAGGACCGCCTGACGACGTTGGGTCAAAAATGCTTGGAAATTGTGAGTCAAGATGTAATAGAGGCCTTTTGGCTAAGCCAAGTCAATTTTGGGCCACCAAATTCTGGTCTACTTGTAGGGGAGGCCGACCCTCCTTCATCCCTGGATTCATCTTTAACAGGGCAGGAAAATCACTGGGTCTTCTTAAACTTCTATATGATTCTGGGTATTGATCGCTAAGAATCCTCAAGTTAACCGCCCATTTCTAGTTTTCTACATCCTAAATAGCGAGTGTTTTTCTCAATTTCTTTAAAAATAATTAACCATAAATGGAAATAAGAAACGGGGCACCTCAAGATCATCTCTCAGTGATCGATGTGAAGGTCATAGTGGCATGCGATGATGTTGTATTTCTATACATTGTGGAATCCTCGGGCTTTCCTAAGACGCTAGATGATGTACCTTATATGTTATTTTTGCGGTTTTGAAATTCATGAGCTCGAATAGCAAGCCTGGATCTGACAAATCTTTTTACGTTAACACTCATCTCAGTCTTTTAACATCTTCATGGCATCAGACATTGATGGTTGGTTTTTGGGACAACTTTGAGTGCAAAGAAGGCCGATCTTCAAGTACAAGCAAGCTTCATCCTTTCCCATTGAAGTATCCACCATTCTTTCTAACTTTCCTTATCTGTATTGTTCCACATATACTACTGTATGCAAGTGAATTTCAAAATTCAAAACACTATATTTCAAAAGGAATCGATGTTACTACTACATTGTTACTGGTGTAATATTTCTTCTAATGAATTTTAGCAATTTTCAGCTACTCTGGTGTATTTATTCAACTTACTTGATAGTTGTAAATAATAACTTCAATTTTCTCCTCCACACAGGACGTGCCTCTGAGAATTGAAATTGGTCCTCGTGGTATCTCAAGTAGGAGCGTTGAGATATCCAGAAGAGATGTTCCTTGGGAAACCAGGGAAGGTTTTTGGAAATATCTATGGAACCTTCGGTTCTCGTAACTTACGTCAAAGAAAAGTTGGATGAGATCCAATTATCCCTTTGGGATAAGGCTAACTCTTTTCAAATAGGTATACTGTCCAATTCTAACAACCTAGTTTGTGATGGTCGTTGTTGGGAACTGAACTAGCCGGTGATGGCAGTAAAAGGATTTTTTATCGCATTCCAATAGGGGCCATCGATGCAGATGGAGATATGGGAGATTCAGTTTATCGATTGTTTATATGAGCATGGTTAAAAAAGAGGGAAAATCTAAATGGACAAAAATGCCCCCATCACTAATAGAGAAAAGTAACGAAGTTATTGATGGAAGACCACTTTTAGAATAAAATGAGAACACAGAGACGATTTCTAGAATTATCAAAGTTTACGTTCCATTTTCAAAGATTTCACTAAACCATAGGGACCAAAATTAGAATTTTATCTAAATTGTATGTAATGGATCCTACCAAACCCATTTACTCTAGGAAAATTTAACCACGTGGGACCCACATCTTTATTTTAACATTTCTTCAATTTTGTCTTTTTATTTTTTATTTATTGTAATAAATATATAACATATAATTATAAAATATATTAATAAATTAATTTATAAACTTTTTAATTATTTATTAATTTTGTTTATTTTTTTGTTGCTTCTAGTTTTTATAAAAGCTTTTTATTTTATTTTAACGAGTAAATAAATTTATTTGAAAAGTTTTTTATTTTATTTTAATGAGTAAATAAATTTATTTGATTATCTATAAATGAAATATATATTTAGCTAGTTTTATTCATGTAATCTTGTACCTTTTTTCAGTTATATTATAAAATTTATGTCTATTTTTTATTTGTTTTCCAAATATATTAATAAAATTATATAAATTATAAATTTATAATTCGTACAAATTAAATAATTTGTTGAATGTAATAAATCAATTTTCATAAAATTTATAATTTTTTATATGTGAAACATTTAGGACTGTTTTTTTATACACAAAATAATATTAAACATTTCAAATATAAAATAATATTGTGCACACGTTGTTGTTTTTATTAAACTGAATATCCAACATGCTATGCGAGCCGATTAATTTCAGGATGATCACCTGCTTTGCGGGTAGCCCGAAGTCAACGCATTTGAACATCCATGACCACAAGAAGATTTTTATTTCTTCTTGGATTTAAACCTGGGATCTCCAGACACTTTTGAGTCTAAGCTTAAACCAATCAGCCACCACCCTTATGGTTTTTTATATATGTTTCATATGTAAAACAGTACATAAAAACTGATTTGTAAATTCATATGATTTAATAGACAGATTTATAGTCACATACATTTAAATCAGATAAAATCTTGTTTTTAATATAAAAACACCCTCATGAGTTGGGACCATATCCTTTGACCTAATCAACAACTTATTAACTATTTTTGTTAGTATGTACGTATATACATACGATATATATATACATAATGACCATATGTGGGTCCCACACATCGGAGTGTGGGCTACATATTGAAATTGCCGGAGCGAATGACAAGTAATAAGGTTAGATTCGTAAATTTACTAAAAAGAGTAAAAAGGACGAAATATTTATTTTATATAATAATATTAATAATCAATTTCCCACGAGAATAATAATTAAATAAAAAAACAATCGAATTATATTTGACTTTGTAATTTACTCTAAAATTACATTGTAAAATTACACATGATTCACACGACTTTGACTACGACCTGAGGTCGTGGACCACATCGCCCGTACATCCTTGCATTAACCGTTGGTGAAAAATCATGTTTCATTTTGCGTGTAGTTTAGTCGTTTTTTGCGTTCTCTTATTTGATTAGTGTTCTTGTTTGAACCTCCCTCTATTAATCAAAAAACGTCATTTATGAATTCTTTTTATAAACGTGATATCTAATCCAACACCTGTTTCTTTCGACTACGTACAAGGCCTTCCATATAATTTATAATATCTTTTTACAAAATTGAATTCAAGATCCTGTATCGTATTAAATACCAGACCTTAGAAAACTGACAGTTTAGTAAAAAAAAATACTGATAACATCAAGTTAAATATAAAATACTATTTTTGATATCTATATTCACTACAATCATACCAGTTTTGTTGATATCAACCAATTCATCACACGATTGGAATGTTTTAGGGAGTATGCTTTTATTCAGATAAAAATGTCGTAATAAAACATATGGTAATTAATGGTATTGTGTAAACTTAAATATGATATTTTATTCAGACGCGATTTTTAGTAATCCTTCTATGGGGTCTTGTACCGTAAACTATATCGACGCTGTATAAATCTTTTATGATCTTTAACAGTATCATCATTTGTTTCATAATATATTGCCATGTCATCACTTGAAAAGTTTTTGAATCCACAAGTACTTTTTTTGTTCCAAAATAAATATCCACAATAAAAAGAATATACAGTTTTAAAAATGTGTAATTATTACACTTTTTAATTAACCAAAATGACAATTTTAGCCTTAATAATAAAAAGATAGTATTAAATTTCTTTATTTTGAACCTAAACACTTAGGGGGTGTTTGAGATTGCTTATAAAAACATCTTATTGACTTATTCCGGTGTGGCAGCGGTAATAAACACTTTTAAGTGTTTGGATAAACAACTTATACCAGTGTTAAACCGATAATAAGGAGTTTTTGAAGAAGTTAAATCATTCTAATTTATAATAAGTTAATAAGGAGTTCTATAAAAAAACATAAATTGTTTCAAATAAGCAATAACAGTAATTAAATAAAAGAAATGTTTTTTTTTATTTAAATAAATGGAGTGAAACTTTTGCTATAAATAGGGTGTGTACATCCATCCTAACATCCCACAAACAAAAGACAAAAACACATCAAAAAACACCAAAGACTTTCCATGGCTGGGAGAAGAGGCAGTGCAACGGTGGCGGCGGCGGTCCTCTGCCTTCTGGCGGTGGCGCTTCATTGCGAGGTGGCTCAGGCCGCCATTTATGTCGTTGGTGGCCGTGGCGGTTGGACCTTTAACCTCTCCGGTTGGCCCAAAGGCAAGAACTTCAAGGCCGGCGACGTTCTTGGTATCCTTCCTTACAATTTCACGTATTTTCATTTCAGACCAAAACGCACCAAAACACAACAAAAGTTTGTTTAGTGCTCATTAAGTCATTGTAGTGTCGTTCCGTAACAAAGTTTTTAAAATTTTGAATTTTGTACATATCGTGACCGGTGACCCTCCGAATCTTTATGAAAGGATCATGAAAAGGCACAATAAACTTGGTATCTACGTCACTGAATGTTACATGATTAGCAAGTTACACAGGTTATCAGTTAAAATAGACATAAAATAAAAAAAATTAAACTTTATAATCTATACTATATTATAAAGCATTTGACATAAACTCTTAAAAACTATTTTTTATGCATGAAGTACTGCATATTGATGCATATTACTTAAAATTCAAGATTATAAGTAAATTATGCATAAGTACAACTTATTAAAGCTCCATGTTTGAATTCGTGTAATTAATTGCGGATAAACATAATCAAATAGAGAACAAACATCTCATTTTAAAATATAAAAAATCTAAAATACAATTAGGATAATTGTCGAGTTATAACAAAATAATTAATTGTTATTTTTATAAGAAAATTATATTGTTAAACCAAATATAAATTACTTCGTTATTGAACCTAAATTAAATTAAAATAAAAAAAATTGAAGTAAAAAATTACACAAAAAATAGGAATTTTAAATAGTTAATTTGATATTAATATCGATATATTTTTGTCAAATTTTTATGATATCTTCAAGTTTATATCTTATTCAAAAATAAAAACATCATCGCTTTTTCAAAATCACATAAGACCATCCTATAACATCGACTGAAATAAAGAATAAAATAAAATATTAAAATCAAGATGTATCTCGATGTATTACGCAAGTACCCTTCTAGTATTGTTTAAAACGAACATATGTTACAATAAATAGAAACTAAAACAAATTTCGTTTTTATTTTATTAAGCTCTCTTATTGGAATAAGCTGTGGCTTATTGACTCAGTTTTTATTTCATATAGTATTCAACTACCAAAAGGGAGCTCATAATGTGGTGGTAGTGAACAAGGCAGGGTACAATGGGTGTAGCACCACCCCAAGAAATGCAAAGGTGTACACAAGTGGAAAAGACAGAATTAGGCTTGTCAAGGGGCTTAACAACTTCATTTGCACTCTTCCTGGTCATTGTGCTTCTGGCATGAAGATTCAAGTATCTGCTTCTTAAGCTGATATCGATAACAATAAGTTCGGATTTTATAGATTCGATATCTGTTGTGTTTGTTGTAAGTTGGTTATATCTGTGCCACGAGTCTTTGGTGGTTTTGTTGGTGTTATATAGCGTAAGTAAACGAATCACGGATCCACTCGGATTTATATCTGGTTTTAGAGTCTGTTTGTTGGTTTGTAATATGTTTGGTTATATCTATATTATGAGCTTTTGACTAGTTTATGACTGTTGGTCTGTTACTGTCGCTCACTTGGTCACTAGAATAATTGTTTTGGAAAGTATAACCTCTAACACATTTATTAATTGGACAAAAAGTTGATTACTCGGAATTATATCTGGTTTTAAATGTTGTTAGAACCAAGGTTACCGAAACAAAAATTTACAAATACGAGTACACATATATGTGAAATTTGTGTGTAATGATGAAACAAAATAGAGAAAAACGTGCAAGTATATATGTATGCAATATTTCGAAATACTTATCAAGATCGGAGAAATGCTAACTTGAAATCGACGATTGATGAACAATTAGATAGAAGTCTGAATTTCGCCCCCGCTCGTGAAGTAGTATCGAGCGTCTGCTTAGAGGATTCAATTATTTATTCGAGTTCTTGTATGGGAACTCAAATCCGTCGAGTTTCCTTGTGTGTTCATGGATCAATATTTGAGAGAGAAACCATGAAAAATGAGGGAAAGAATGAATCCACAGAATTCCAGAGGAAAAACTAAATCTATATATAGTTTTGACGGTTAAATCAACAGTTAAACCGGTTTCCAAAAAGTGTAGGGGCCGCCCGCGACTTAAGTTTGCGGCTCTAGTCCCGCAAGTTATTGTTTCGTATTCTAGAATGTTACGCAGGTATCCTCGCGACTAAGGCCGCGGGAAGCACTGACGAACGTACAAAGACTTGCACGCGTAACCATGCAATTCTATGTTTGTTCGTTAAAAGTAGGCTTTGACGTCAAGAGACCTCAAGGTCCGAACCCCATTTTATCTTACAACATTTATTGTTATAAATATAATTAATCAGCGATAATAATTTTATTTTGAATCGTTATGATGTTTGAAGTATTTTAAAAGTTAAGTGTTTTGTAATCTAACTTTTGAAACCACATGCACATTTCTAGGCGTGGTTGTAATTGAATCTACTCAACAATGATAGTGTGTCGTTAAAAGTATAGAATTTGAAATAATTGTTTTAAAATTATGTATGTTTTATAAAGTAAAATTTAACTGAAATCGGGTCATTTTTATACATAAATTGCGTTTTTTCAGGTTCTCAATAATACCATCGTATAATTCTAATATCAAAATGGTTGAAAAATGGCTCATAATTTTATAGATTGTTTTGTAGATGGTTTTAGGGTTGTAAATGAATCGAACGAACACGAACAGAGGCTTGTTCATGTTCGTTCGTTTAATTTAATCGAACAAATGAACAAACACGAACAGTAAACGAACGAAAACCTTTGTGTTCGCGTTCGTTCGTTTAGAAATCAGTACTGTTCGTGTTCGTTTATGTTTGTTCGTTAACATGCTAAACAAACATACTTAAACGAACAGGCCTAAACGAACATAAACAAACGAACACCATTACTTGTCATCCAATTAACTATTACGCACCAATTATCTGGAGGCTAAGGTTTTGGGAGGAAAGTGAAAAGGTAAAAACTTCAAATAAAATAAAATCTAAATAATAACTAAAACGTTAAAACTTAAATAAATAATATTTAAATTCAAACTAAATAAATAAAATATTATATATTAAATTTAATGTTTAAACGAACGAACATAAACGAACAAGACTTTTGTTCATGTTTGTTCGTTTAACTAAATGAACAAAAAAAATTATTCATGCTCGTTCATTTATTAAATAAACGAACTTCCTACCGAAAAGTTCACGAACGATTCGTTGAACGTTCGATTCGTTTTTTAGTTATTGCTCATCTATCAGATATATAATACTTTGTAAGAAATAAAATACAGGAAAAAAAGATAAATTAATATTATAATCATAAAAAAAAACAGAAAGAAATTGTTTACGGTCAAAAGCCATGGAATATGATGTGTATTATATTATTATTATTATTATTATATATATATATATATATGATTGGATTTGATGATATGAAGTTCCATTGTCGTCCAGCGGTTAGGATATCTGGCTTTCACCCAGGAGACCCGGGTTCGATTCCCGGCAATGGAACCTTTTTATATAAATAAATAAGTTTTGTAAATTACACTTTTGATCCCTGAAGTTTTCCTTTTGTTTCAATTTGCTACCTCTTTTACAGTAAATTACACATTTGATTTCTATGGTTTTCATTTTGTTCTGAATTTGCTCCATTTGACTAACTTCTATTAAGTTAGTCCGTTAACTCGGGTATATTAGTTTTTTATTTTTTTTATCATTGCTTTTATTTTTAATTAAAAAATTAAATCAATATATAATAATATTATTATATTACTTTATGTTATGTATAATTAAAACTTCGGCATTTAATTGTTATTCCTCCCCTTTCACGACGGGGATTCTTCCATTCCAGCATAACTCAAATCCAACCCAGTAGCCAGTTTCTCAACATATCCCAAAATGGCCTTTTTGTTGTGATTTTCCCGTTAATCTAGGTCCTAAACGATTCCCAAACATGTATTTTATCAGTTTTTGTTTTTTTTTTCACTGAACCCATATAAATACAACTTCTCTCTCAACACTTCGGTTTTGTTTTATTTTTCATGATTGAGTTGATGGATCGTTTGATCGGTGATGAGGGATTGTTTGATCGGTGATCTAAGGGGGATCAAAGTCGGAGGGGTGGGGTAGGTGTAGGTTATAATTTGTAGGGTTTCATTAATGAGAAAAGACAAAAAGAGTAAAAATATATTTTTTAAATAAAATGGAATGGGAAAAACACCAAAAAGAATAAATGACCAAAAAGCCTTTAAGTTAATGGAGTTTTTTAACGAGTTAACTAGAGGGACCAAAAGTGAAATAAAATGATAAATACAATGACCAAAATTGTAATTAGTTTAAAATAGGAAGAAGACTTGACAGTGAGTGACAATCATAGGGACCAAAAGTGTAATTTATTCTAGCTTTTACTTTTTCCGGTTTGATCACTGAAAAAACAACTTCTATTCTCAGCTTTAACATTGAAAAAAATACAGTTTTCATAAACTTTTACAATCTTCACAAGTTAATTTTCCTTCTCATTGCTAAAAAGTAACCTCTACAAGTTTTTACACTTTTGTAACTTAACTTTTGGTTTTAAATGAGTTATCTCTAAGTCCACTAGACTTTATCACTTTACCAAGTGATCAACTTGTCAAAAAGTATTTTCTTTTGTTTATAAACTCAAATGAAAGGTGGAACATACTTATTGAGAAACGATATACTGCCTTCCTTTGCTTTGTTATCTCACCATTTCTCACACCCAAACCCAAATATTCTAACTACTCATAGCTGAATGGAACATAAAGTAAAAGGAGACAAAAGTTAAAGTCATAAAAGATAAAACTGTAATGTGCAACAATGAACGTTGCAGCAATGCAAGACAACTGATTAAAAACGTAAGCCCATACAGATGATAGGTTGGTTCGCTTGAAGAGAATCTTTTCTATGATCAGATACGAATCATGTCATACATGAGCAGGCATGAAAGAATGTAAGTTACAAAAGTAATACTTAAACCGCAATAAATTGAAAGAGATACAAAACTAAACTACTGAAATATGAAACTAATTAAATTAAAGCTTAGGGGCCGTTTACTAAGCACTTACTTCGTAAGTGTTTACCGGATAAATTTTTCATCGGATGAACATGAGAAGTAAGTGTTTACCGGATAAATTTTTCATCGGATGAACATGAGAAGGGTCAAGAATCTTACCTGGTAAGAGCGATAAGAAGGATGGAGAGTCATACACGGTAAGTGAGGTTGACGACTCTTACCCAAGTAAGCGCTTACCCATATAAATTGCTGCACTCGATATGTTTTAATATACTAAAATCTTATGCATCAAAATAAATCATAGTGTTGACTCATATCGGTAAGCGCTTACCGAATAAGTAATTGGATAAACGGCCCCTTAATAAACTTCAACCCAGGGGAGTACACTGAAAGTTCAAGCATAATGTTCAGTACACAAAGTCAAGCTTGACAAACCATTTGAAGACAAAAGATGCACTAAAACTTAAAAATCTGCAAAGGGCCTTGAAAATGTGAGATTCATCTGGGCTTCCCCTTTATGTTCATGTTTTTTGCCTTCGTTTTCAAGTAATTTGCTTGGTGTTACAACAATGACATATCACACAACACACACATCCTGCCTAAAAGATGAAATCAACACTCGATAACGTCATTACAGATTAATCACAATCTTAGCTCTATAAAATAATAAAGAAAAAAAATAAGATAATAAAAGACTCAAATTTGGGATACAAAAAGAAAGCAAGATAGTTAAAAGGTAAGAAATGAGTGTTATACCATTGTAAAACAATGCATATATGTTGTCAACGTTCAACAACCAACGGATGATTGAACTGCATAAATTCCTCTCAAATCCATTATGAACCGATAAACACCTCTACCAGACAAATCTAAGCCATTGATAAAGAGCATTCACGATGAAGGTTCTTTTACAGGTTCTTATAAGATTTACAGTGTTTGGACAAAAAACATATGTTCCTGTTTATTTTTGTATTGTTACATTTTTTAGTTAACTTATCTATTTTAATAACTCTTAAATATGTGAGCATTAATTAGGGTAGATTTGGAAATTTAGTTATCTATTTTTGAAACAAGAAAATTATTTTGGGACAAATATAAGCAGAAATGTAGATACTAATTTTAAACGATGGAGTATCACATTACCATATATAAAGCCACTATTCAATATGGACTATTTTCTTACAACTCTAACGACGCCCCAATATTCAAATTAGACTAAAGTTCCATTTTAGTCCCTAACATTTGTAATTTTCCACATATTTTTTTCTTAGACTTTAGAAACTTGAATTTGGTTCATAACATCTCGTCCCACATGGATAAAAATTGTGATTTATGAGCTCCTTGTAAGGCTCAAGTTATGAGCTACGAATAACTTCACCATGACTTTAAGTTGAATTCGAAGTTATTGGGCTATTCTGTTGCTCTGGACTTTGGTGTGTTACAAATGGTATTAGAGTCGATCCTTATCCTATTGGAATGGTGGGGCACACCTCATCAA